AATTTTTCATGACTTAAATGTGCCAGTGCACAGAGATAAAGGCATCTACCGCTAATTTTCGTGACCCGGTTGCCTCCTTTGAGCAGCCGGGCCGGAATTGCATTATGTAGATATTTGTCGTTTGTTTAATCCACTAATGCCAGACTGAGCTGGAAATTGAAACTGTAATAGCTGCATCTTTAACAAGGTGAGGAAAGACACTTTCTCAGGTGGACGAGGGATTTGTTGTGACAGCCTTGTTACCTCAGTGAGCGCGGCGCCGGTTTCTTGCTGGGCGACGCACACTCGCTCTCTCTCTCTCTCTCTCTCTCTCTCTCTCTCTCTCAGTTTGGTGTCTCTTTGGATCGGGCCCAAAGTTTGCAGATTGCTGACTGGCACGCAATCGCTTGTCTCTGGTGGGGCAAGTGCTGCACACATGGAGATTTGTCTTTCTCTCATTGTCCCACTCTGTTACAACTTCTCTTCTTTCTTGCTCGTTTGCTTTTCTGTGTTGAATGTTATATGAATCATCTTCTATTGTCAGACACAGTCTTATTATTGTAACACGGTGTCCTGAAAAGTTCTCTATCAAGCAATCTTTCTATCCTCCCTGAAAGTCAAATATTTTGTGAAAAGGCAAAATCGCAGCCAGTTGGAACATATTTGGAGACCAACCGTGAATGATAGTATGCATTGTGACCCCGCCCTGTCACACTCGTTATTTTTCTAGACAGTCATTATTCTTTATATCAGTGATTCTCAACTAATGGCTGTTCTGATAGGGTCACGGTCAGCTAAATGCAAATAAAAAATGCTTCTAACCGTATAACTGTGCATTGTTAGAATAGCTTAATAAATAGCCTTTGCATCTTTTAGCTGAAAATAAGTCTTATATTTCTACATTGATGTCAAAGGTCATGCATCAAATCAAACTCAGCATTATGGCTCAGATTCATCTGATTCCGAATGAAAATCCATGAAAGCTACTCAAAAACTGATTAAGACTAAATACGGCTTCACTTGCATTTAAAGATCAATTTTTATGCTATTCAGCCTATGTTGCATGTTGTTTTTTGCCTGTTTACATATTATTCAACCGTTTGGGGTCAGTAAGATTTTTCTAATGTTTGTGAAAGAAGTCACCAAGGCTACATTTATTTGATAAAAAATACAGTTAAAACAGAAATATTATGACATATTATTACAATTTAAAATAACTGTTTTCTAATTTCAGTGTCACATGATGCTTCAGAAATCATTCTAATATGCTGATTTAATAAAAAAAAACATTTCTTATTATTATCACTTTTGTGAACACCATTGTATTGCTTAAACCTACTGTATCCTATAGTTTGTCAAAAGCAGTACATTTGAATACAGTGTAAGCAGTGCATTTTCAATGTCCTTTTTCTCTTTTATTCTCTCTTTAATAATAAACAGTTTTAATGCTATATTGCTTTGTCCAATGTAAAATCTGCAGCAGAAATAGCTTGTTTTATAGCAGTTTCCTACCTTTACCTTGTGTACCCTTAAATAGCCTCGTCAGTACCCAGACAGCAGACAGTTTCGGCCCAGATCCGGCCCACATCTGGCCCGCATGGATTTCACATGGGCCAGATGTGGGCCGGATCTGGGCCAACACTATGTTGCTGTCTGGGTAAGGTTCAAATACCCTTTCATCAACACCAAACCAGTCCTCATAAATATGTATGAAATAATAATCCTCATAAATGTGTTTGCAATTCATATTTACACTGAATATCCTTTAGCATTCTAATTATAATTAAAATGGCCATTATTCCAAAGCACCATGTTTAAAAAACATGCAATGCTGTGGGTGAAAACAGACACCAGTTAGCTTCTACTCAAACTGAAGCAGTTTGAGAACTACATCCTCTGTGGGTTTTCTAACTGCGTTTAGTTTGATGTTTTCATGGAAAAAGAAAATCGCAAAGGGCTTTGTATTGTTGTGGAGAAATGAGAGTGAAATGAATAAAGATGCATGTATGGGGTCTTTATGTACATATGTCCTGCTGTGTGTGCCATTCACACAGATTGACTACAACCTATATATAGGCCTATTATTTGGTTTTCTCACTTTTAAAAAGTAATTGAATGTGTATACAAAAGATAATTAAAATGCATGTGCACCCCTGGGAACTACTGCAATATATTATGACGTATTGTGCATGTTTGCAGTCAGTTAGAAGTGATGTTTTTAATACACTCAGAGGAGATTATGTGTTGGTACATAGTGAGTCTGGCCAGTCTGTGTGTGTGTGTGTGTGTGTGT